TTTTTAGCAGCATCATATGACCCCTTTAATATAATTTAAACGGATGAGTTATAAAAAAATTCACCCCCCTCACAGTTGTCATCAAGGGCAAAATTAGCTATATAGACCAAAATCATTTTTTGAACCAGGCTGTAAACATGTTTTTTTCTGCTGTAAAGTTGGGCATTTTAACATGGGGAGTCTATGGGATTGACTCCCTTTTGCAGCCAGCCTCTAGCGGCCAGTTGATGAATTACAGTTTAAGTCACTTCCTTGTTGGCTTCACCAGAGAGAGCGGGAGGTTGCCGCTTGGTTTAACCACAGCTGTCGTCGGTTTTTTGTCTGGCAGTGGCAGCAGATATGCAATCAAATTTCTAATTTGAGGCTGTATTACGTCGATTCTGGCACCCAACATCACAACAAGATGATATTTTAAGCTCCTTATGTAGCCGAACCTGCGCTGGTTTGAATGGGCCGCCTCCAGTTTCCCCTTTGTTTTGCTGCCTCCAGCTAGTGCTGTGACGTCGGCTGACCCTAGTTATCTGTGGTTGGCCTGGCCGTGCGTCACTCAGAAAACAACAGGCCAATCAGAAGAGAGGCTCATGAATATTAATTAGACAGACCAAAATCGACCTGTTCTCAGCAGAGCTCCTGAGAGAGGAGCTGTAAAAATATATTGAGATGGTTTTTGGTACTTACACCGCAAATATATATTCTTAAGGACATCAAAACCTAAAATAAAACTCCAGAAATGTGTACAATATGTGACCTTTAAACCTTAACCCTAGAAGGGGAGACGTATCCTGGGGGATACAAATTTTGAGAAGCTGTGGGGAGAAGCAGTGAAATTGTAGGTCTTATTTCTTGGTGTCATTTTGAAAGGGTGTTTGTTGTGAATATTTATGAGGTGATTTTGTGTCTACATTCTTTGTTTAGCTCACGGGCAGCATTTAAATCTGCATGGCCGCCTGTAGTGGGCAATCTACTCACCCTCCGATAAAAGTTGATCTGGTTCACATATTTACACATGTTGGAGGGGACTTACCTGTTTAAAAAGCTGTTGTTCAGCATTAGCTTATTGGGTTTACATTGAAATTTCATGAATTAAATGCTTACATTTTTTGTATTCTGTATCTAAATGTTTGTATCTCAGGAATCGACCTGTTCTCAGCAGAGCTCCTGAGAGAGGAGCTGTAAAAATATATTGAGATGGTTTTTGGTACTTACACCGCAAATATATATTCTTAAGGACATCAAAACCTAAAATAAAACTCCAGAAATGTGTACAATATGTGACCTTTAAACCTTAACCCTAGAAGGGGAGACGTATCCTGGGGGATACAAATTTTGAGAAGCTGTGGGGAGAAGCAGTGAAATTGTAGGTCTTATTTCTTGGTGTCATTTTGAAAGGGTGTTTGTTGTGAATATTTATGAGGTGATTTTGTGTCTACATTCTTTGTTTAGCTCACGGGCAGCATTTAAATCTGCATGGCCGCCTGTAGTGGGCAATCTACTCACCCTCCGATAAAAGTTGATCTGGTTCACATATTTACACATGTTGGAGGGGACTTACCTGTTTAAAAAGCTGTTGTTCAGCATTAGCTTATTGGGTTTACATTGAAATTTCATGAATTAAATGCTTACATTTTTTGTAATCTGTCTCTAAATGTTTGTATCTCAGGGGATACGTCGCCCTTTTAGGGGTATAAATCAAGATATAAAAACATATACACTCCCCTCCAAAAGTATTGGAACCAATACCATTGAGGCCAATTCCTTTATTTTTGCTGTAGACTGAAAACATTTGGGTTTGATATCAAAAGATGAATATGAGACAAGAGATCAACATTTCAGCTTTTATTTCCAGGTATTTTCATCTGAATTTGATAAACACAACTTAGAAGATAGCACCTTTTGTGTGAGCCCACCCATTGCTCATGTTACCAAAAGTATTGGAACAGATTGACTTAAACTAGATTAAAGTGAATAAGACTTAATATTTAGTTGCAAATCCTAGTAACTGCATCAAGCCATTCTTCTTTTGTGATGCTTTTCCAGGCTTTCACCGCAGCGTCTTTCAGTTTTGGGGGGTTACTCCCTTCAGTCTCTTCTTTAGCAGGTAAAATGCATACTCTATAGTAGTGTTGTCAAAAGACCCGGTACTTCGGTACCAAGTCGGTACTAAAAAAATGAAAACGTTACGGTACCAGGATTTTTTAAGTACCGGTGGTACCGAGTACCCGGCCAACCCGGTTCTTGATGTGCTATCCGAATGACTTGGCCAGTCTAAAACCTTCCACTTCTTGCCCCTCATGAACTCCTTTGTTGCTTTGGCACTGTTTTTTGGCCATTATCTTGCTGCATGATGAAGGATCTCCCAATCAGTTTGGTTGCATCTTTCTGTAAGTTGGCAGACAAAATGTTTCTGTAGACTTCTGAGTTCATTTAGCTGCTGCCGTCATGTGTTACATCATCAGTTAAGAATAATGAGCCCGTCCCAGAAGAAGCGATGCAAGCCCAAGCCATGACATTACCTTCACTGTGTTTCAGATGAGCTTGAATGTTTGGGATCACGAGCAGATCCTTTTTTTCTCCAAACTTTAGCCTTTCCATCACTTTGGTAAAGGTTAATCTTTGTCTCATCAGTCCATAAAACTTTATCCCAGAATTTTTGAGGCTCATCTCCTATTCTTCTTGCTAATGAGTGGTTTGCATCTTCTGGTGTAGCCTCCTCACTGTTCCAATACTTTTGGAGGGGAGTGTATATAGACTGTGTGATTTTGTGGCTTGTGTTTTAGAAAATCACCTGACATTTTTAATTTGTCACCACAAAAATATAAAACTGAATTTTAATACAGAAATTCAAAACAAGCTCCATCTTAGGAGACATACACTACCGTTCAAAAGTTTGAGATCAGAATGATTTTTAATGTTTCTTGTACAGGAGTCTCTTCTGCTCATCAAGGCTGCATTTTTTTTATCAAAATAATGCAGGAAAAAATGTAATATTGTGAAATATTATTATGATGTAAAATAATGAATACTGATCCCAAACTTCTGAACGGTAGTGTATATTCAAGTCACTGTATGTATGAGTTGCATTTTTATGCAATGCATTTTAGTAAATTAATATGTTGCAAAAAAGTGAGCATCATGTCATTGACCCTTTGACTAACAATGTTTTAAAGGGAACCGGATGAAAACGAAGATGTTTATGAAAGTCTGGATCAAAATCCTAAATCAGAGGTAAAGCACCAATGTCCATTCAGTCCTTTTATTATTAATGTCCATTCAGTCCTTTTATTATTAATGTCCATTCAGTCCTTTTGTCTGCTCAGTTAAATGGTTATCATTCAGAGAGAAACCGAGAAGTCACTTGTAGATCAATTGAGAATCAATACGTTTGCCAACAGCACTGGCCTTATAAGCGTCCTCTCTTTGTAGCAGGAAGTGGCTCACGTCAGCCGCTGGAGTAAATACACTGATCAAACAGCTGAGGGTCCAAATGGACATGAAGAAGAGGAAGAAGATGATAATGTTTACACAGAAAGACACAGATTCAGAAGCCAAGAAACCAGGTACCTTGTCAATAAAAGCATTTAATCTGTTAATGAGGCAAAATACTACGGCTATTAAAGAAAATGTTAATCATTAATAAATAAAAACCAAAGAATCTTCGCACAAACAATCATGAAAAAATTGTCTTGTATTTTCAGACTGCCAAAAATCTTTATTATTATGCATGTGAACAAATACCAACATCATTTTACAGGAAAAGGAAGAAAATCTCCTCTTCAAAGTCTTTGGGTGGCCGTGATGGTAACTGTGAGGATGAGGAGTCATGGACTGGTCGTTCTGGGTTTAAGAGACGGCCGGATCAGGTAAGCCACACAACGCACTTTAACACATCTGCAACAGTATAAAGACTCATGTGCTAAGATACTGCAAAATGCCCCGTTTAAAAAACACCGTTTCAACACAAACACTTCTTGTATCTATTGCAGCCTCTGCAGCATGACAGGAGATTCAATTCATCGTGGAGTAAAGGATCTGCTTCCAAATATTCCTCCTGTGGCAGGTCAGGTGATATGGACCCGTGCACTAGCACAAATCTCCCATCATCCCGTCAGGCTGATTGTTATCCTACAGCCTGCTCCAGTTCCACAGCGGAGAACTCTGGTGAAAATAAACAGCAGTGTAACTCTTCACATAAGCCGCCAGCAGCTGAGGTAACCAAAGGCCTTCTCCTGCACAGCAGCAGTCCTTCTGTTTCTTCTCGTCAGAAGTTTGGTGAATCGAAGATTGAGAATAAGGACTCCAAATGGGACAAATTCCTCACAGTTGTCCCTAATCAGCAGGATGAGGAAGAGTATGACTATGAAGCTCAAGATTCCTCTAATTACAGTGATAACACAGCAGTGGCTTGTTTCTCAGAAGCACTTACAGACAAAAGTGTGGATTCTGAAGAGTGCGGATATCCACTGGATGGAAAGAAGGACAGTGGTGCTCTCGGGAGGCAGAAGCCTGTTGGTGTTATTTGTGTGGATGGAAATTTATCCAGTCCAAACATCAGTCATGGCTCAAAGCCAGCCGGTTTTGAAAACGCTGTCTGTAAACAGCCTACACTATTTAATATTATTAATGTCCATTCAGTCCTTTTGTCTGCTCAGTTAAATGGTTATCATTCAGAGAGAAACCGAGAAGTCACTTGTAGATCAATTGAGAATCAATACGTTTGCCAACAGCACTGGCCTTATAAGCGTCCTCTCTTTGTAGCAGGAAGTGGCTCACGTCAGCCGCTGGAGTAAATACACTGATCAAACAGCTGAGGGTCCAAATGGACATGAAGAAGAGGAAGAAGATGATAATGTTTACACAGAAAGACACAGATTCAGAAGCCAAGAAACCAGGTACCTTGTCAATAAAAGCATTTAATCTGTTAATGAGGCAAAATACTACGGCTATTAAAGAAAATGTTAATCATTAATAAATAAAAACCAAAGAATCTTCGCACAAACAATCATGAAAAAATTGTCTTGTATTTTCAGACTGCCAAAAATCTTTATTATTATGCATGTGAACAAATACCAACATCATTTTACAGGAAAAGGAAGAAAATCTCCTCTTCAAAGTCTTTGGGTGGCCGTGATGGTAACTGTGAGGATGAGGAGTCATGGACTGGTCGTTCTGGGTTTAAGAGACGGCCGGATCAGGTAAGCCACACAACGCACTTTAACACATCTGCAACAGTATAAAGACTCATGTGCTAAGATACTGCAAAATGCCCCGTTTAAAAAACACCGTTTCAACACAAACACTTCTTGTATCTATTGCAGCCTCTGCAGCATGACAGGAGATTCAATTCATCGTGGAGTAAAGGATCTGCTTCCAAATATTCCTCCTGTGGCAGGTCAGGTGATATGGACCCGTGCACTAGCACAAATCTCCCATCATCCCGTCAGGCTGATTGTTATCCTACAGCCTGCTCCAGTTCCACAGCGGAGAACTCTGGTGAAAATAAACAGCAGTGTAACTCTTCACATAAGCCGCCAGCAGCTGAGGTAACCAAAGGCCTTCTCCTGCACAGCAGCAGTCCTTCTGTTTCTTCTCGTCAGAAGTTTGGTGAATCGAAGATTGAGAATAAGGACTCCAAATGGGACAAATTCCTCACAGTTGTCCCTAATCAGCAGGATGAGGAAGAGTATGACTATGAAGCTCAAGATTCCTCTAATTACAGTGATAACACAGCAGTGGCTTGTTTCTCAGAAGCACTTACAGACAAAAGTGTGGATTCTGAAGAGTGCGGATATCCACTGGATGGAAAGAAGGACAGTGGTGCTCTCGGGAGGCAGAAGCCTGTTGGTGTTATTTGTGTGGATGGAAATTTATCCAGTCCAAACATCAGTCATGGCTCAAAGCCAGCCGGTTTTGAAAACGCTGTCTGTAAACAGCCTACACTATTTAAGATGCCGTGTTCAAGCCTTTCCATAAACTCCCTGTTCTTTACTGATGAAGACTTTGACGACACATTTTGAGAATAAGTTGCATTCTATTCAAAAATCTAAGTTTTATGATGTTACCATATCCTCTTGCATTGGTAGTTACACCACTCTCCACAGTTTTGCACATTTAAGAAAATACAAACTTTTTTTTTTTTTGCATTTTATTGAGGATAGAAAGTACAGGAATTTTAGAAGACCTACAGTGACATTAACCTGATTCCATCTGTTTATTCAAACTAACAATAAAATTTCTGCTGAGCCTACAAACTCTTCTTATTAGTTATGTAAATTCAAACAGAAAAAAAATCACACAAATGTAGACCTCTACTTTTATATGTAATATGCATATACAATGATAATAATCTTCATAACATAAGGTGTAATGCTAATGACAGAAATGCTGAATATATCTATTTTGCATAAAAGCCCAATAATGAACTTAACTACGTGCCAAGTCACCTGAGTAACTGATATTGTTGATAGCATTTACTTAAAGAATTTGTCATTGAAAAAGTTTGTTAATGGAAAATAGGCCAAAATTTTCAAACATTATTAGTTATGGCCCAGCAGGGGGCGTATTACAGAAAGATCCTAACTTTAAAATCTGATTTGTTTGGTAACCATGGTCATTTCAGTTAGGACCACATTTAGGACAAAAGCTATTACAGAACAGCATTTCCTAAGTGTGTTATCTTATCTTAACTACAGATAGGAAGGGGGTATTACAGAAACCTCCTAACTTGACAAAAAATCCTAAAAACTGTCTTAACTTTAGGACAACCCCACAGCTGTCCTAACTTCAAAATTATTCGAAAGCTAACGGAAAAACCGCTTACAACCGCGCTGTCCAACAATGGTATTACATTTATTAATAATTGAAAATGAAGAACGGAGATGTTTAATGGTAGAAAGACTCTTGGAGGACCCTGAAGATGTTACATTTTGATGACAAAACACACAAGTAATTACAGACTGCCGTGCAACATGATATTACAGTAGCACAGGAACTGCAACCAGCATTACAGAGACCAACAAAAGCGTAACGGAGCATTACCGGTTATAGTGCAAGTGACTAATGCCTCACGGTTTTTTTGCAAAGGGTGATTTTCAAAGTGAAGTAGCTTCTGTTATTTTGTTTACCTCATCAGCAGCTCCCGCAGTGTTGGTTGCTTGGTAACAGACCTGAGAGTGGATTGTCAAACTTGATAATGCAATTTAAGATTTCCTAACTAGAGATAAGATACGATTTTGTAAGATAAGATAAGAATCCCAAATCAAGTTAAGATTTGCTTCTGTAATACGAATTTGTGAAAAATCCTAATTTAACATATCATATCTTAAGTTAAGACCTAAGATAAGAAACTTTCTGTAATATGCCCCCCTGGTCTTCTTTATTCCTGTGCTCCTTCTCTACTTCTGTGGGCCGGGTTTGGAGTACTGGATGGTATCCAGGGCAGATCCGATGTCGAAATTCTTGGTGTGGAGCAGTCTGGTCAACCATCCACCCTCATCGGTGAACCCCATGGAGAGCATCTGAGAAAGAGTCTCCACCAGCTTGGGGTCTGCATCTGAGGGAGAGGACATTAAAATTAGGATGCCTGAATTGATATGAAGTGGACTGGAATTGGCTACTGGGTGATGCACGGTACCTTGAGGAAGGTGTGGGTAGAGAGCTGCCTCACGCAGGCCAGTGGGACCCTTGGAGGCGCTTGTGCTGGAGTCGGTACTTAGCGGGGCTGGAAGTTCTGTCCCGTCCTGCTCCAACCTGAGGGACTGCAGCTCTCCTGTGGAGGGGTCCACCTCTTTAGAGCTGAGATGAGTCCATTCCTCATCACTGCCTTGGTCTTTCTGCCCCTAGAATAGAAGGAATGAATGTTAACCGAATGTAGCTTCTCGGCCTTTAATATCTAACTTCTGAACTTTTAAAAATATCCAACTTCTAAACTTATGCCTTTTTTGGCTTTGAAAACTCGAGATGTCACAATCCTGTATACTATCAGGCAGGGGCGTAGAATACACAGGGGATGTGCCCCCCCCCCCTTTTAATACAACAAATTTGTCCCCCGCAATTTTTCGGGCAAGTGTGTTCACGTAGAGGTTTTCAGTGACCATATAAATATCTAGATTTAAATTCAAAGATGGTCTATGCATGGCCTGGCATTTTATTCATATCCAAAATGATGAGATGTGAACATTGCGGAGCGCTAAACTCTCATGCAGTGTATGTTTCATTCATACTCAAAGCTAGAGGGCGCTCTCACGCAGAAAGTCCAAAATGGACTCATAGAAGTAATAACTTGTGACATGCAGGAAATCCCTAATACGGACAAAGGCATCCAGCTATTGCTGTAGCTAAGCTGAATTTTAAAAAAAACGTAAAGGCAATACATGCACGCGATTGCGACAATATATGTGACCCTGGAGCACAAAACCAGTCTTAAGTCGCTGGGGTATATTTGTAGCAATAGCCAAAAAAACATTGTATGGGTCAAAATTATCGATTTTTCTTTTATGCCAAAAATCATTAGGATATTAAGTAAAGATCTTGTTCCATGAAGATATTTTGTACATTTCCTACCGTAAATATATTAAAACTTAATTTTTGATTAGTAATATGCATTCCAAGTCACCTCCAGTTAATAAATAAAGCATCTGAATAATGCAGTGCTAACTGACATAGCATTTATTACAGTGGTCTATAGAAACTATAAAATATATTTTCTGCCTTGTTCTGTGATAAAAATGGAAAACAAGTGTAGTATATTTACAAACCATAAAACTAATTAGGAAAATATAGGAAAATTACTACAAATGCAATCAATAATACAAATTACTGGTAATTGTCCAGCAGTGTATTTGATTTTAGCCAATTAAAAGTAAGAGATAAGAAAAAAAAATTAAACCTGTCAATTAGACAAAAAAAAAAAAAAAAAGGTTAACATTTCTGTCCCCCTCACTTCTGAAATGATGGGTACACCCCTGCTATCAGGCATTGTAGAACTGCTTGCATATAGTTTTACCTTTGTTCCTTCACTGATGCTCTCTTCAGTGGCCTGACTTCCAGGACCAGACCCTCTGGAGAGAAGCCCTATGGAGCCACTCTCACTCCAAGCACTAGGTGGCCCACTGGAGGCAGGAGGAGTTGGTGTAACTTTGGTCCGCTGCCCCTCATGCTCAACGTCGATGTCCACATCTATGCCTGGAAAGGAACAAGCATTTTTATTTTGAAGGGTTAGGTAACATGCCAAACAAAGAAGTATCCGGATGGTGTGTTAGAGGCAAAAATGTTTGGGAAAGGCCAAAAGCATCAGTAATAAACCCAAAGAAAGGGAACTTACCTAGGGGGCTCAACATGGCCGCCACTCCCTCTCCAATGTTCTTTAGGTACTCCATATTGGCCAGAGAGGAGTCAGTAGCACCTGTGGATGCTAACACAGTTTCTATCAGTGTTGGTCTACAGCATTGTAACAAATTATTCTAAGCTCAAATTTCATACATATGTCAACCAAACCAAAGTGGTCTATGAATGGGACATTAGCTGCATCTGAACGCTTAGGCAGCTGACTTGTTTGTGCACAAAGGTACTACCCAATCCTTTAGTTGTTCACAAACTGACCAGCAATCACATCTTTAACACAACTTTTTATTTTTTAACTCGTTCACACAAGCTCTGTTGCATTCCTCCTACTTCACAGGTTTTATATTAGACCGTTTGATTGATGGTTTCTCACCATTCTCTTTCATGTTTTCAGAAGCATCCTGGTTTTGCTGGACTCCAGATGGTCCTGGCTGAGCCTGGTTTTGGGCCTGAGCTTGAGCCTGAGCCTGGGTATTTGCCCACATGCAGTGTCTCATCTTACGCCACAACTTCCCACGAGGGAACCACTGCACACAAAAGATTCACTTGAATCAGTATGTTCAGATCATTTGGAAACCAAAATGTATTGTACGTAGTACAATACACACAGACACAAAAGCAGTAAAACCGGCATTCACCTCAAACATGTTGGCCATAGGGTGAAAGAGGGGCAGGAGAGGATGCTCCTTGTGGAGGCCTTTGCCCTGGCAGGAGGAGCACAAGTCATAATCGGGGCAAACGGTGCACTTGAAACGTGTTCCAACCACCGGCCCTTCGCACCCGTCACAGGTCACCCCTGAGTGCAGCAATGGAGGGTAATGATAAGGAGGCCCCATGTGAGGTGCTCCTGGGGGACCCATTGGAGGTGGACCCATAGGATTAGGTCCTGGGGGGCTAAAGTGAGGGGCTCCATGAGGCGGGGGGAATGAGAACCCAGGGACCCCATGAGGTGAGGGATCACGTTTGTGCTCCTTTCTTTCTGAAAAGGGAAGAAATGCGAGTATTGCTGTTAATTGGAGATGTTTGTGTACACTGGAGACATTTAAAAGACTCCAGGGTGTAGTACTATCAAATGCCTCTTGTAAGAATCTGTTCACATTCTTTGAATGTATTGTCATCGTCATACATTTTTCCCATCAACAGAGCTTGTAATACATGTAAGTGGCTATTACTAGGCCAGATAGCAGAGAATACAACATTTATAGTATTCAAAGCTTCATAATTCTAAGAATGAGCTAAAGAATCAATAAAAGAATGTCATGAGTATTTGCAAAAACAATGAACAACATATTAATTCGTTTCACTATGGCCAGGCTGCTACCTTATATTCATGGGGTCAATGGATGTTTAAGATTATGAAAATATGTACAACGTGCCTTGATTTAAAAAAAAAAAATCCTTGTTTCCTTGTTGGTTTCATCCACTTCTGGAAATGTTTGTACAATATTTCATTTAACAAAAATGTAAAGCCTAAAAAGTCAAGTAGTGTAACCATGAAGCAAGTTTCGTGGCGTTACTCCATTTGGCTTGAACTAACCTAGGCTTTTCATAAAATCGCATTATCTTTTTAAAACTAATACTGACTATGACCTCTCAACATAAAACATGGCAGAGCAAAGGACACTTGCATGGCAAATGTAATATGGCCAGATTATACACATACTATATAGAATGTCATTTTTTAATGGTCTCAAAGTAAGTGCTTATTCAGAAGTACCTAGTCAGAGTATGTGATTTCAGACAGACCCAGTCATCAGGGTCTGTTGGTCTATCTGTGATACTTCCTGTTTACGGTTTTCTTGTCACATGACAACAAAATGACTTCTGATTTGTGCATTCTTATTTGGATTGAATTTTCTAAGAAATAACTTTTTATTAACAGCCTCCAAACAGTTACACTACCTAGCCAGACAAATACATTTCAATTCAAAGATTGATGTTCTTCATA